TACAGTGAAACAAACTTTGGTTTTGACTTAACATTTTAAACAGCAAACAAACAAACAAGCTGTTTGTTTGTCACTAAAGGTCTAAAAATCTCCAATGTGTCTGTAACTGATGTTCCCATCTCCGACAATTTGAGTCATTTTCGTAGGCTACATTTCCAGCAACTCAAAGATAAATTAATTCAAAAACAACCTTAAGGATGGTGCTACTGAAACCTTTGCCCACACTCTTTTACTTGACTTTGCCCTGTAAGCCTGAAGATGAACTGTTAGATAAAGTTTATACTAAAATTTTAAACATTATCGATTTAATTGCTCTAATGAAAGTGAAGGTCATGCCTGAGAAAAAAAAATGCCTCAGTGGAGAAGTACTCCGTCACTCAGAAGTGGAAAAACACGGTGTGGAAAACCCAAATGCAGGTGGCAAAAGGTTGGAATCCAGGTTTATTTGAACATCTATAAAGAGAGACTTTACAAATGTAAATTAAAAATAAAAAATTCAAGAGAATCTCATCAGTAATAACTTTATTAATATGTCCTAATTTCCACTGTCAACAGGATAACAAGCCCTCCTATAACTGTAGCAATTGAACCTTCACTCTACAAGGGCCTGCAACAAATTTGTTAACTTCTTCTCTGAAACAAACTGAATAGATAAAAGGGATGGCCTGAATATTAATATCAATCCAGTTCTAAAATTGTCGGATTTTGACAGAATTTACCAATAAATAAAAAAATAAATAACAAAAACATAATACACCAAGTAAGCTGTGTAGGTTGGTGGGACGAAATAGTTCTGAAATTCACCAGGAATTTTGTCTGTCTGGCTCTCGCACTTACTTTTGAGGTGTGAAATTCAGGGGCTTGATGCAGACACCGTTGCAGCGTCCTGCCAAGCTTCCTCCTTCAGGAAAAATTTTGTTGACTGGCACGGCCTCAGTGACCGCACTGCTCCTTGACCGATGTGAGTGTACACACTGAATTTAATGATGTGGCTTCCTTGCGGCACCCACAAAGCAGTTTCAAAGTACGTGTAACGCAGTGCATTCAGTTTGAGCCCAGCATATTGTTGAAAGATCTGTGTTTCAGCAATTAAACACTTTCCTAGCAATTACCAGCAGCTTTGGCATGTTCCAGTCAGGTTTCCATTCTCACCACAGTACTGAGAATGCCCTTATCAAGGTGTTGGATGTCAGCTGTATAAATGCAGACTGTGGAAGAAGCACAGTGCTGGTATTATTGGACTTTAGTGCATCATTTAACGCCATTGATCATTTTATAAGAGTGTGTGGATAAGTTGGTTGGCCTTTCTAGTTCAGTACTTGACTGGTTTAAATCAGGAAGGATATTCTGTATATGTCTGTTTAACAAATGTAAACAGATTTATTTCGGCTTGTTAGATCAAACCCTACAGGCGTGGTTGTCTCTGTACGTTGTGCTCGATGCTATCACGCAAATTAGTGGCTCGACCCGGGTCTGGTGTTCTCATAGCATGCCAATCAGAGCCGAGACGATTTTAACACAGGTCGCTCTCCAAGCTGATTGACCTGGCTCGACACAGGTCAGTAAGCTGTTGCTACAACCACTAAAAGTGGGTTTAAACGGGTTTTTCGGCCTGTGGTAAAGTGGTAAAAGTAATGAACAGCCCCCTCTGCGGAGGAAGCTCATTTCAGCTGCTTGTGTCTGAGAATTTTCAGTCTTTCGGGCTTGATCCAGATTTCACGATGGTAGATGAGGGTAGGAACTTAGACGGATGGGTACATTTTGTCTTTTTTCTCTTACCACTGGTGCAGTCTCCGGATTATAGCAGCAGTTGCACCAACCCTATCTCCCCTCCCTCATGAACAGGACCCCAAGACACTTGAACTCCTCTAATTGAGGCAGGAGCTCTTCTCCAACATGATGGGGACAAGCCAACTTTTTCTGGAGGAGAACCATGCTTTCGAAAACATAACAAAATACACGAGTCAAGACCTACAGCATGTGTGTTTTCCTAGTATGTAAATATGTTTTTTGTTTGTTTGTTTTGTTTTTAGAGAGCACTTATGTAGAGCACTTTTATTTGTCTTGCTACTGAAATTTGCTTTATTAATACATTTACCTTGCCTGTTGTAATCACTGTAAGCAGGAAGGATCTCTTATTGGTCTGTCTTAGAGCGTATCTGGAGACCCTTGAATGAAGGCAACCCATGATCAGATGCAGCTTGCTACGTCCCCTGACTGGGTCTAGGATAGCTTAGTAAACTAGCCCCACCTGCAAGTGGCCAAAATCATTTTTAACTACGAGTTTGGTCTAGCCTCTATCAACGCCCCAGGCCCTAGAATGGGCGAGCCAATCACAACGCAGAGATGTGATTTTAATTTCTGGATGCGAAGCGGGTGGGGTTTTGAGGGCGGGATGACAAAGCTGTGCATCACTGGAGAAAGCGGCAACATGTGGATCTCCAGGGCTAACGGCAGCCAGGGCTAACTGCAGCCTGTCTGCAGCGGCCCTCTCTCGGCATAGTCATGTATGAAGGACCGCTGGCTCTGATGGCGATTTTGACTCAGCTTTGGAATCAGTTTTCAAAGGATTAGACTTTAGGTTTTCGTTGAAACGTGAGCAGGAAGAGGCTCTATGCTCAGTCATTTTTAAGAAGGACGTATTTGCCATTTAATTCCCATGTTTGTTAACACTCCCCCAACAGCTTTCTGTCGCACGTTGGCCAATAGGCACAGACAGCGGCTTGAAAAACAACAGGTTGTTCTCATCAAAAATCTCCCAAAGTCTCATTCATTGGGGCCAGACTAAATTGTACATTTAATCTCACATTTAGTCTGGTTTATCAGGCTAGGTCTAGGAGGTATAAGGGACCAACTTAAATTTAGACAAGCAATCAAGGAGTAAAAAGAAATTTAAAGAGTTTTTTTTTCTGCCATTTCTTTCAGAAAAAAATTTCTATAGAGCAGTAAAAGCTTCAGGGAGAGCTCAGGCCAAAATAATAGACAAAACAACACTAAATGAAAAATAAAAGTGGACTTAAGGCTCTGTCCCACTTTGACGATTTAGACAGCTTATGCCTGACACGTTATGGGTTAGTTAAGTTATGGGTACGTTTTGTATAAGTTATGAGCATGATAAAGCAGGCTGAAAAACGCTGGCACATGTCGACATAAGGCAAGTATGTTGAGAAATTTTTAGCATGCTCAAACTTTTCTGACGTATTGAGGCGTATGCGCATACGTGGGGCATACGTTACAGGTAAGTTATCTGATCGTTGAAATAATTCTTCATAAGTTATTCATAAGTTGAGGTGTCTAGCTTATCTAAAATCTATGTGCATAACTTATGCTCAATTTATCAAGAACTTCTCTTCAATGCATATCAACGTGTTTGATGTGTTCCAGACGACTGCTGAATGTGTTTCTACCTTACAGCTACTGTATAATGGCATATTGGCAGTGTTTTGGTATAAAAGGGGGTTCACAGGAGGAAACCATCACTACTACTCCAAGCTTCATCCTCATCATAGAGCGAGAAGGTGAGTGTGATTGATCCGCCCAGTGTTAATGCCCACAACCAACAAACTTCCCTGCAGACATGACACAGCGACTGCAAACCTTCTTTCTTTCTTTTTCTTTTTATTTATTTTTTTCTTTTGGTGAGCGGTAAACAGCAGCTAGGTTAATATCGCGATCAAAGACATCTTTTCATGCGGACCGGGCGCCTCTGGGCGCATCGCTGCCCCCCTCAGGACACCGGCTTGTGCATCATTTCATCGGCATTATGCTGCCGTGCGTTATGTATAAGTTAGGCTGTTGTTGGGCATATGCTCTGGACTCACAATGAATAACCTATGTAGACACCCAAAATAAAAAAATACATAGAAAGTTGAGCATATTCCAGTTTTTTAGGAAGTTCTGGGATGATAGGCATATGCTGTCTAAATTGGCAAGGGCCCTTACCTAACTCAAACTAAAACCAAAATATACAAGCCTACAAAATAACCTACAAAACAAGTAAATAAATAGGATAAAACTTGGGTTAAACAAAAGGCAACTCTCCCCTACAAAAAAACATCTGAACAGATTCACATGGCGGCAAATTAACAGCCCATTAGATGCTCCAAACAACCACAGAGGTACAACTTCAAAGGCCTTAAATAGGGTGCAGGTGATTGCTGATTGGGCTAAAACTCAGGAAACAGCACCCAATCCTAGAGTTGGAGCCCTAAAAAGAACAAGGTGTTAATGGGTGCAAAAAAAAAATTACATCCATCTTGGGGATGTAAGAAACTTGTTAAACAGTCTTCAGAAGTCTAAGAAATTAAAGAGAAGAGTGAAAAATCACATAGTAGGACTCTTTCAACAAATCTATAGAAGGTAGCTTGCCTTCTTGGGTGCAAAGTTGAAGTTTGTTTACAGTTTCACACTACAATGTGAAAAAAAGTAGCCATAAATGTAAAGTATACAAAAACATTTAGACATTTCCTACTGCAATTGCTTAAACCTATATGTGCAAATTCATTCTAGGTTTCTACCAGCAGATGGTGACATTATCCTCTGAAAAAGCAAAAACAAAATCCATTACAATGCAAATCACATTGATAAATTTATCAATTTTAAGGACTGATTAAAGGGTTTTCATTTTACCCACATTTGACAAAAAAACTTAAAAACTATATATTAAGTACTGTGAAGCCTAGTTTAATTTTTACCTTCAAATGTATGACAAACAAAAAGCTCAACCAAAGATGCCAGTCTAAATGTAATATTTATGCAATATTTCACAATTTTGGATTTGAACAAGTAAATAAAATGGATCAAATGAAAAAGTCTAGTGCTTTTCTCTTAAAAGAGCTTGTTAAACATTTTTTTTTTTAATCAATAAGTTTGGCCTTCTCTTTAAAAGGTTAACCAGAGCAAACACAGATGGCACTGTCCAAAAAGCAACGACACTGAGAGCGAAGTAAAGCACAACCTGTTTGATAACTTTAAACACAAAACCTGGACAGCAGAGCAGAATGGCTGCAGACATCAAGATAATGGTCTGCATTGGATTTGCAGTTGTATTAACAGGTAGCAAAGATTTGGATTACAAAGCATGAAATCTTTGAAAAGTGCTTCAATTATGTTTATTTGAGCTGTTTCTTTTTTGTTTGTTTTTTTTGCCTGATCAGGCATAGGAAAGTCTGCCTTCGTTGGAAAAAGCCACAGTGGAGGAAGAGATAACCTGGTGCTGCAATATGTAGTTAACAACTCCCTGAGGGAGCATTCAGTCCTCACCAAACTCAGACTGGTAAGGAAGAAAAAACAACCCATAACATTCTGGGTTTTGATATATTTTACTAAGTAGAACTCTCTGATAATAAAATGTCTTAATCATAACACTGTTAAATAAAAGATCATGTTTTATAAGGGAACAAATACTGCAGGTGGACTACTGGGCTGCAATTTTTTTCTAATAAAATGTGAAAAAAGTAATTAACTAATGTGTGTTTAAAAATAGATGAATAAACTTCCAACTGGATGCTTAAATACTAAGTAACAATTGTTTACCTGTTTAAAAGACTGATAGTAAGATTGTGTAAAAATGTCCTTTTGATTTTTTTTCTCCCTTTGCTATAAGCAATGTGTCATGCACTGAAATAATAACAACTGCTCAGTAAACATCTAATATGCACAAGAGGGCATATAAGATTGTGTTTAGAAGATAAAATTCTAAGATAAAAAAAACAAACAGTTTTTTTCACTTTATTCTGATTTTCTCTTAAACAGCAACTACGATTAGGTTCCTGGTAGCTTCTTGTTGGAGCCATTCAGTTTTGGATTACAGCATTATGAACTAATAGTTATGCCATTATTTAAATGTGTTCTATTTTGTTTTTTGTAGCTTCTGCATATTGGATAATTTAACACCCCTCTGTTGAGATTGATTATGCAAGCCCTTGTTGTTTGATCAGTGTTAAACTTTTATTGATTTCTTTTTCACCTGTACATCTGTTAAATGATTGACTAATTTCGTAATTAGGTACCTTGGTTACAATATTTTTTTCCACTTCACATTTCTTAAGCACCTTAAATTAATTTCTACAAAAATAATGATACAATAAGATGCTGGAATTTGAGGATCTAAAGTAGTACAAAAAATATATATATATTTTTTTTTAAAGTGCTCTAAATATAATATTTCTTGATTATTTGCCCAAAATGCCGACACAACGCATAAACTTTAGCTCTGCAGACACTTCAGATATTTTTTTTTTTACTCTCTGCTACCCTCATGTGGTTAGAAGTGGAACTCCAGCACAGCATGCAAAAGCTTGGAAGCATAAAAAGGGAGGGCAACAGAGTAAAATACTCTGACAACACAACATATGACAACTTGGAACAGTTGATACCTGTCAGATGCTCCATGCAACAGACAGGAAGAGGAAGATGTTGGTTACTAAAGCAGTAAATGGATACAGTAGCATATCAATCTGTTGCTGACTTTGGTGAAGCAAAAATCTAAACCTTTACAACCTGATCCTTACTGCAACTACAGAATTGCTCTGTTTTATAGGATTTATATAACTATCACAACCCGAGCTTGAG